AAAAAAAAAAAACTAACCTACTTTACTCTTCAAATAAGCAATTAGAAGTACTAACAATTAAGTACCTAAGTTTTAGAAGTGGTAGCAATTACAGTTGAAAAGAGCACTGGACTTGGCATACCTAGGGTTAAATCCTAGCTCTACTACGTAATACCTGTACAGCCTTGGGCAAATTATTTATCTCCTCTTCATCTTTTTTAAAATTTGGGAGGTGATATTTGTCCTGCCCACTTTATGGAGTTATGAATACCAAGTAAATAAATATGAAAGTAAACTACAAAAATACAAATTATAATAATCACAATTTTATAATGATACAATAAAGGAAAAGAACTAATCTAATTCATACAAATTACTTTTTTATTTTATTTATAATTAATATCCTACCAGGGTTGCTTTGAGAGTGAAAAGAAATAATACTGTATGTCAAAGTACACAGAGCATAACACATAGCAGCACTCAGAACATGCACTGCACTCACATCCATGGACGGTGTCTTCAGAGGCTCCAGCAGCTTGCTTCCCAGCCTCCAGATCTCTCTCTGAATTGTTCTCTTTCTCTGGCTTTCCCTGGATTATTTCTCTCTTTACATTTCCCCAGCTCTCTCCCTCAGAATATCTTCTTCAGTGTGATGTATATTCATTCTTTCTCCCCAGAGGCTCCTAATTCAACATCTAAAGAAAAGCATTTAGAGTTAAAATAAAAATATAGCATTCTCAGTGCCCTTTTCCCTAAGAGATGACTGCTTTATAATTCAGAGAAAACACTTTCTTAAATCAGAGAATCCAACATAGAGCAGAAAACTGAATATCACTTTCATGTTTTATCATAGATGGCAAAGTCCATTTCAGTTTTGTCTATTTTCCTAATTTGAAAATTCAGTACTATTTCATATCACTTATAACAAAATATTGAGAACTCATATGCATTTTATGAAGTATTCCAGTCCTTACAAATATAGAAATTTGTCTGTAATAATACTTATCAAGAAACCCAAAGTTATCATAAAGCAATAATGAATATGTATAACAAAAGATGTTAATGTAAAATTAAATTACTCAGTAGTAGTTCCAGATTGTATTTCATGCATTATTATTAACTATTATTTAATTGTAGAAATTTAAATTATTCACGCAAAAGATATTAAAATTGCCAGAATAAAATGTTCTTTAGTAAGTGTATATTTTTATACCAAGAAAAAGCATTTATTAAAAAATCTGGGGCCTGTGGCTCATTACAGGCTCATTGCCTGTAATCCTAGCACTTTGGGAGGCCAAGGTGAATGGATTGCCTGAGCTCATGGGTTCGAGACCAGCCTAAGCAAGAGCAAGACTCCCATCTCTAAAAATAGCTGGCCATTGTGGCAGGTGCCTGTAGTCCCAGCTACTTAGGAGACTGACACAAGAGAATTGCTGGTGCCCAAGAGTTTAAGGTTGCTGTGAGCTATGATGCCTTAGCACTCTACTGAGGAAAACAAAGTAAGACTCTGTCTCCAAAAAATATATATATTTTTTTCCATTTCACTAAAATAATAGTTTTGTTTAAAATACTTTTATACTAGATATGTACTATAAGAACAGTCTGTGTGCTCGGCACCTGTAGCTCAGTGGCTAGGGCACCAGCCACGTACACCAGAGCTGGCAAGTTCGAACCCAGCTGAGGCCTGCCAAACAACAATGACAATTACAACAAAAAAATAGCCAGTCATTGTGGCAGGCTGCATTTTATAAGCTGTACTCCTGGCTACTTGGGAGGCTGAGGCAAGAGAATCACTTAAGCCCAAGAGTTTGAGTTGCTGTGAGCTGTGACACCACAGCACTCTACCAAGGGCAACATAGTGAGACTCTGTCTCAAAATAAAATAAAATAAAATAGAACAGTCTGCAGAATTTGTCATTGGTCTTACTGTAATTGTTGAGGATGTAATTCTCTACAGTATACTCGGTTCTCTTTATTGAGAACCGATGGGAGAGTTTTCTTCCGTCCTTATAATGAGAAATAAATGTCTTCTTATACAGAATCAGTGATCTCAGAAATATTTTATGTTTACTGTCATTGCTCAGAACAATGATGTGTTCATCGCAATTAATGTGATATGGACAAAAAAGTAGTAGTTCTTAATTTTTCTCAGAAAAGAACTCATATTTGCAAAATTGGTAAGAGTCATCAAGCCAGTGCTGTCTGAACCCAGTGATAACTAACTAAATAGACAAAATAGCATATGCAAAGTCAAGAGAACATGACAGATTCAGAAACTAGAAGTTCATTGTGACTCAACCATAAATTTAAAGGGAGGACTAGCAAAAGAGGAGGATAGAAAAGTCAACAGGCAAAATTACAAAGTCTTTTATGCCTCTCTTTTTATGATGAGAACAGCAGAGAGCCATTAACCATTTCTGAGCAGGACAGTGCAGTGGTGGTCAGATTTGGCAAACTGACTAAAGAAATTAAGGAGACCTGTTACAGGCTGCTCCTCACTAGAGAAAAGAGAGATTATGGTGATTAGACAGACTGAGGTGGTGGCAATGGGGAAAGAAATGGAAGAATCCAAGGGATTATTTCTGAGAGGGAGTTAATAGTATCTGGTGATTGATTAGATGAAGAGAGTGGAAGAGAAAAAGATAATGCCCCATTTCAGACTGGAATTGATGAATGGCGTGATATGTGTACCTGTGCACTGAGCTTAAAGAACAAGCATGAACAAGTTTAGGAAGGAAAACGGTGCCTATAGCTTAACCTTTGTCACTGGGAGCAAAAGCCACATGGTAGCGGGTTGAGGAGTGAAGGGTAAGTAGAGAAAGAAAAGTAGGGAGCTCTCAAGAAGTGTGACTGCAGACTGAAGCTGAGAGAGGGCAGAGCAGGGGGCAATGAGGGAGTTTTTCCCCACATTTAGTTTAACTGGTGACATAAAAAAGCTGAAAACATAGGAGTGAATGGGAATAACTGAGAGACAAGAGTGCTGTGGAGGAGGGAGGAAGGAAACGATGGAATTCAGGCTGCAGGTAGGTACCTTTAGTACAGGCAGAAAAAGGACATCACTTTCCATTGTGACAGGAAAGAGAATGCTTCTCTGCATCCTCCCTATCCTCACAGCTCTCTGCACAGCACTAATGCTTCGCCCTGCTCAGCACATCAGGAGGCCAGCCACTTAGTAGCTGATGATGAAGACACTTTGCAATCCCCTTTACAGTATGAAGATGTCACTAGTTACTTACACCAATTCTGTATTTTACCATTTAGATTTATGGAAAGTTTACAAACAGAAATTCAAGAAATGGAATTCCTTCAGTTTTCTAAAGGCTTGAATTTTATGAGAAAAGAAGACTTCGCAGAGTGGCTACTTTTTTTCACTAACACTGATAATAAAGACATTTACTGGAAAAATGTGAGAGAGAAGTTGTCAGCAGGAGAGGTTGGTATACCCTTTTGTTATGCATATGATAAAGATGAACTAATAAGTTGGACATGTCTATATAACTAAAGTAATTTCTAAATTAACCAAGATTATGCAAATCACTATTATTTAAGTATAAAATATTTTATACTTAAAATACCACATACTTTTTTTTTTTTTTTT